ATGAAAATCAACAATATAAAATATCCATTACATTTAAAATATTAACTAAAAAAAAAGGCCAATACTAATACACAAATTAAATATACTCCACAAACATATCAACAAATTAACATAATATGCTTAAAATTGCTAAAAAAAAAAAAAGACTTCCTGGTCAAAATCAAGAGACAAATAGTTTAATCTATATGACAGAGACCTAGTAAGTTATATCAAAATTTTATTTCCCGCTTGTCACAGGCCATATCGCAAATAGTCTCTAATCAAGAGGCAAGACAAATTTTGTTAAAACAATTGGCCTTTAAAAATACTAATGCGTTTTATAAAACAGCTATTGCTCAAAAAAAAAAAAAAAAGCAGAGACAGTAAATAATTTCATTAAACTATGTCAAGACATTAAAAAACCACAAATACCCCTTCTCCCACAATCCTCTGTCCGGGACTCAAACTGTGGTCAGCCACATAGGAATCCAGCGCCCTTAAACACCATGCCACCTGCTGGCCCCATTTATTTATTTGGAGAGGTTTTTGCTACAGGGCGCGTGTGCTCGTCAGACAGACAGAGAGAGACAGAGAGACAGAAAGCGAGAAATCATGCCCCAGAGGGGATGGTCACGCCACAATCCCTTCTCCTCCATTCTCCTCTCGGGATCTTGGGCACGCATGCACACGTGCCTGATGTGAGTTTTAAGCCACCGGTTTCAGGATGCGAACTGCGATCAGCTACGTGGGAGTCCAGCGACATAGCCATTAAGCTAACTGCTGGTCCCCAAGGTTGGGCTTTGGATGCAATAGAAAATGTAAAAGCCAAGGTCCAGGATAAGGAAGGAACTCCTCTTAATCAGCAAAGACTTTTTTTGCTGGCAAGCAGTTGAAAGATGGGTGTACTTTGCAACATCCAAGAGGAGTCCACACTTCATCTCACGTTGAGACTTTGTGGTGGTATTAAGAAAAGAAAGACGTTTGGGACCAGCAGTTAGCGTAATGGCTGTCACTGGACTCCCATGTAGTACACCGTGGTTTGAGTCCTGGACCCGGTGGCTTAAACTCATGCCGAGTGCATATGCATGCGTGCCCAAGCTGAGAGGAGAATGGAGGAGAAAGGATTGCAGCATGGCCATCCCCCCTGGGGGGGGGGGGGGTTTCTCGCTTCCCTT